CTTCCCTTAATGAGAAACTCCTGGAAAGATGACATCTGGGGCTACATCTAAATCGGTCCGGGAAAAAAGAAATTGTACACCAACTCGACAACATTTTCACAAATCAAGTGACGCTCACGGAATAAGCTTATGGAAGTGACACAGCACCCCATGAACATTTAAAACATCTCCTGCACTTCCAAAGCTCCTATCTCCTATTGCAAGGTTTGGATTGTAACCAGGGGATATAATCTCGAGGTATAGTATTAACAGTATTAGTATTAACTTTGAGGCAGATTAACCAGTCCTCTCTCATTTTGAGGGTAGAACGGACCCAGAGTGACTCCTGAGACTCAAGAGCTTAGGCGCATTCTGCCATGGCGATTGAAGTATATGGGTCGAGTAGAGAGTCACATGCGATAGGAAGTCGAGTTTGATTGAAGAAGTGGGACGCGAACCCATGAGTTAAAGGATGAAAAAGACTTAGACCAATAGACGATACGAAATGCACACCAGTTTTGGTTTCGATGAGAAGAGATGGTTTTAATCTTCAAGATTGTCAAACAGATATAGGAATTTGAAACTTAACGCATTCCGGAAAAGAGTTGCCAAACTAAACTTCAAACTAAATCTCCTCGCGTTAACTGCACCATTTAGGAGTGCATGCATAAGGCGGAGATGATCTTGAAATTCTTCAAGTGCGTAAACGCTTAGCACTAGATGGTAATGGTAAATAGATCAAGCCAGTGGGACCCAAAGGGTCAAAAGGCTGAAAAACACGATACAACAAGAGTAAAGTTGCTTGAATACTCCACAAGAGAGAGAACTGGGAGAGGTGAAGACTTCTGACTGACTGTCAAGGTCGTGACATACATTAGTGGTCACTCTTAGCATGAGAGTAAAGTTCCTTGACTATTCCACACGAGAGAAAACCGGAAGAAGTGAAGGCTTCTTGTCTTAAGGTAATACTAACCAACTGTCAAGGTTCGTGACATACATTAGCGGTCACTTTGTACAGGCGGGTCCAACTTTACAACTTCTAGTAGTATATATATATATAGAGAGAGTCTTAGGATATTGTCCCAGGACAAATACTCTCGTCAACATAATTTGTACATATTTTTTAGCTATCAATACTACTTCTAGTTTTTTCACTTGGAATTTTAACATTTTTAAATCTCACTTCAATCTAATCTTTTGTTCAATAGTAAATTTGTCGTCCACATCAGTTTGTCGAGAGTGCACTACTAGTCTTGTACTCAAAATTTTGAATTTTTCACTTCACATGATCACTCGGAGCAAGGGATGCAAACATATGCTATTTCATTTACTTGTGAACCTCCAAGCTTCTCGAAGTCAATATAGATGACGAATCCAACATCTTGATGCATGACTTAGTTTTCATACTACAACAGCCACAAAGAGAGAATGCCTACGAAGAAAATGACGTGAAACAACCCCACGTTGCTTGCGCGTCAATCCAGTTTAATTAGCAAGTCCGGTTTCACAACCGCCAAAAGAACCTCGAATCAACTTGCCAAAGAAGTTTGACTGAGATTGTACAAAAATTTGAGATTTCATCAATCAAGTTTGACTTAACTTCCGTCTTTAACCACACAGATTGTTAATAGAAGACTTAAAAATCACACTTATTGGATCACTTCTTAGGAGAACCGCTTATCTTGGTTATTGTCACTATTGGAGATATATTTCTCACTTCTGGAAGAATATTTTCAATTTCAGATCAAAGGCAGAATTTTGAAATTACTCTAAAGTAATTTGAAAATATATTAACAGAAGTGAAGAATTTTTTCAATGACGGTTGCGACCAGCTTCAAAATACTTTGCAAAATGTCAATAACTGACATGTGACATTGAATGGAATGATAAGGTTCTCATCATCATGTTTCAACGAGGTCTACTCAACAATATCAAAATTTTGTTGTTGAACTTAGCCAAACAAATTACTTTCTCATATGTTATTCTCATAAAGAAATAATTTTAACAACTGGCTTTTGGAGCAGCGAGAGAGCCGACAATTGCTTTTTGAAATATATTAAACAAATTACACAACTTTTGCATGCCAAATATCTTCAAGCATTTTGAGCTCAAACCACATGAAAATTGATATTTTGAGAGATAATAAAATAAAGCAAAAAAAGACAAATAACTATTTTCAGAAGCACTTGTGTTTTATTTGGAGAGTAAAGTTTTGAACTAAAATAAGAGCATTCTGAAACCTCAAGGGCCAAAGGCGCGCAAATTTTGAAGCAGTTGAAGCATTTTCAAGCCAAGACACAAGAACACTAGATTTCAAAATAAATTAGGCGGTTGTTTTATTTTATTTTATGAACATATGGGTTTTTCTTCAAAAATGAAGAAGATTACATCTACCATGACCAAATAGTAGTTAAAAGTTTACTTACTACTAGACTATATACAAGCTAAAGAGTTTCATTTTCCATCGATCCCAAGTAAAATTTTTGGGCTACATGATTTTAAGAGAGTATATTTCCATGATGCAAAGAAGATTAGAACAATCACTGATGGAAAAAATCCAACTACAATTTCAAACGTACAATGATTATTCAATATTGCAAATTTCTATCAAATCTTCATAAAAACATTTCCAAGATTGCTACTCCTTTAACATGATTGTCTTATAAAGACAAGCTTGAGTAGAATGTGAAAATAAATCAAGATTTTGAAATTCTGAAGAAGTTATTTACAAATATGACTATACTTACTCATCTTTGTGCTTGGCGCACTGTTGTTGTTTTTGTGAGGTGAAACCCAGACGCGTCAATGGCTGGTTGAAAATTATTTTAATTTCCATCCTAACCTCTAAAAGCTGTTCTTTCAAGAAACGAATGCATTTGATTTTGTCCTTGAAGCAATCCTTTCATAACATGACAAAGACGGATGACTCCAACCTATTGCGTTTCTTTCGCAACAAATTCCTACTTCTGAAATCAATTTTAAGATTCAAAACAAAGAGCTCTTAACCATTCTTGATCGGTTCCAAGAGTGGCATTACTTTCTATAAATCGTTCAAGATAAGATCAAGGTCTATCTTCATAGCAATCACAAGAACCTTGATACTTCATGTCTTTGTAGTTATTGAATCAAAAACAAACTCATTCAATGATATGGCTTTAGCGTTTTGTTATGTGTATATGTGTTGTATATAATTAGCATTGGATTTAAGTTAATTCTAGTTGAGTTAATCTTAGACAGAGGCCAGGTTTTGGATCATTACCGCAGTAGAGCATAGTTGTGCATATTCCAAAAACTGTCAGTTTTTCCAGTTGAGTTTTTTTGCAAGGGGAAAAACTTTAAGTAGGTTTGCTATGATGTCTTGCTAGCTTCAACTTGTAGTCTCCGAGATGTAAAGTGAGTTTGGATTGATTGGTTGTGAATCTTTGGGTTTGAAATCAGTAGAATTTACACGAATACTTTCAGTAGTAAGAGTTACTTTCTAATTGTGATACATTTGTGTGTACGCTCTTAATCTTTATTTATGTATGTTTGATTATGGCATGTTAGCAATGAAGGTTGCACGACATAAATATTCTCACGACAGCTTCAACTTTTTCATCATCTTTTTCATCACGTAAAGATTTCTAACAAATTAAGTCCAATGCTTTGATCTTAAATTTAAATAACATTGCTTGTCTCTAACTTCTTTTTTGGGGTTGTGTACAAATATCATGGATTTTCTAACAACGTCATATCTACTCGTAATACGCAATTCACATCCAAGTTTTGACAGTACATGTTCAAAATCCTAGAAATAAAGATCAATTTATCCTTGATGTATCTTCTTGATACAAATGGACTAACTAAACAAAAAGATCAAATATTGAAGCTACATTATAGATGCTTTATCAATTAACTTTAAGACAATTGGGAAAATCAACTTATAGTTGTAGGGTTTGATTATAACAAAACATTTCAAGAATCTATTTACCAAACTCTTTTCTTTGCAAACTATGAATATCATCCATGACTTGACTCTTTGAATTTGAATTTGGAAAAAATTCCTCGCTGAACAAGATTTTGTTTCTGAACTTTTGAATATTTGTATAAACATGAAGCCAAGGTTTGCAGAAACTCAAAAGCAGCAGAAGAAAAATGCATATAAATCTGGAAAGCAAATCCAAACATCTCTGTTGGAAATTAAGTCTGGATTTTGTATCAAAATTAGAAGATTTTCCTACCAAGAGACAAATTTGATTATAGTTATCTTGGATCTTTTCTCATGAATAAGCAGATCAACTAGGTAGCATATATACTAGACATGCCATGAAAATTGATAAAGCGTTTTATGTTCTTGTGCTTGAGCCGTATAGAAAATCGGCTATTCTAGCAAGGTTGTTCGCACCTCCACCACCAATCTAGATAAACAAAAAAGAAATTTATAAGATAATCCAATCTCGCATCAATAGGAAAAGATTGGAATATCTTGTATATGGGCATGGCTACGAATTAAGCAAACAAACTTGGAAACCTGAATCTAATCTAGTTAGTGTTAAAAGATGATAAAAAAATTTCATCCTATTTAATTGACAAAATTGAACGTCAAAATATTTGTAAACAACAGGTTTGGAACAACACAAAGAAAATCAGGTTCTAACCATTAATTTTAACATGAAATTATTGTTATAGAACTTTATGTCACTTAGCAATATGATTTGACGTTGCACCACGTGGTCTATCGTCCATGATGAAACATATAATATTGAGATTGGGGTGTGAAATACATTTGCTATGATCTATCCTGCCAGTGTGAAACGTGCACTGGCCCAAGTGACCGATTTGTTTTACATGACATCATCATGGAGTTTTCCATCCTGTCTGCTATGCGTTAGATAGCTGATGGGCTCCCTCTCTATCTCTAACACACTCGAATCTACTCGTTAAGCATACAACCACAGACTCAAGTTTGTGACCTGTTATTCCGACTAAGAGTAAAGCTTCCCCCAATCCATTAATGTCGAATCATAGGACGTCCAGAAAGCTCGTGTAGCTTTGTCTGCAGATGTAGGATCTAATTACTGTACCTTCATGAATAATACGAGATATCGCAGGACAGAACAAAAGTCTGGAGGCTTTTTTGGCACCTAGTCAGCAGCCATATGTTCTGCTTCCTGACGAACGAAGATATATCGCTGGAATGTGGGACAACTGCACAACTCTAGAGCAAGTGTGCCTTGATTTTAGGATCGCACCGTTTCGTTCGTATTCTCGGACATAAGATATTGTCCGTACGCTTCCATTCACGTTCTGATTTTTCTTTGACTTCAGCGTGAACTTGAGATCCTTGTCTGGGTGCTCCTATTCACGTCATGTTTATTCCTTGGGCGTGAACATGAGAACCTGCTCTGGCCATGAGTAGATGTCGCTGCCTCTCACCGGAAGAATATTGAAGTGGTCGCCGTTGGGCTAACACTGCAAGAATCAACAGTATCTTGTGAGCTGTGAGTGCCATGCACGCAGTTTCAGAGTTTGACTCGAAAAGAGATCATACAGCTGCAGTTGTCTGTTCCTCCGGACAGGTAAATCATGGTAATATTGAATAAAATTCAGCTAATATTACGTCAAAGCCAGCGGGCTTGCACAGTGATAGTGAAAAATGTGGCGCTAGTTACAGATATGAATTGAATTAGATCAATCTTGATTTGATTGTTAAGAGAAGCTAGCCTGCACGATTTTGGTAAGAATTTCTGGACGTAATGATCTACTTACAGGTGGATGGTTAGAAAGTCATCTTTTCGCTGCCAATTTACAAATGAAGGGGCATTTATTCTAGTCTTTTAGGATCTGCAGCTGAATAATGTCGAGAAGTTCAGCAGTAGTGATTTAGTGCTGCGACTGGATCTTGTTCTTTGAGTGTTACCTACATCAAATCAGGAATCACCGTTATCTTCAGGGCAAGATATGTCCAACACTTCGTCTTCGAGTTTCCTCAGCATTACTTTCTCATAGTGTACTGGGTCAGATCAAGAGCAATTTCAGTAACCTGTTCAATTGAGTTCTTTCACTTATGCTATGGACCTCTCTAGCGTATTCTGTGGGTTTTCTGCACATTTCTTACTCTACTCATGTCACGTCATGTGATCTTCAACTTCGGTTCCTATTGGCACCCCAAGTCTTCCCATCTTCAAGCATGTAGCGGAGAACGTGGTGACAACTTTCTCGCCCACAGGGCTGATAACGAGGGAAGACTTGGTGACGAAAATTCCTTTGCCCTGCAGCCCATTTTTCTGTTCCTCAGGGTCGACGGTCCTTGCTGTGGGGTACATGAAGATTGTGTTAGATCTGAGAGTGTAATCATTTCTCTTGCATAGAATCCCTCGGCAGCAAAGTTAGCAACCAGCCCGCTGAAGTTCAGCACAGGAAGTGGTAGATTGCTATCAGCTATCAAGGTCGTGTAGTGCACTCAGTCAGTGACAAAGAGCGACGGGCGTGATGGTTCCCCGCAGCTGTAAGATAAGAGTCGAACATTCATAGAAAATAGTGAGTCAGCCAGAGTTAAACATGATTGCTTCCAAAACTTACAGAGTCGTCTTGCTTTCATAAATGCAGGAGAAAGTAATCAATGTAGTATAAAGGTAACTTGGCTGTGGCGTCACGAGCAGACATGATGAGAATATCCGAGTAAGATACATCGCCTGGACAGAAATGTTCTAGACCAGCCTTCACTATATCGATCTATGCGGTTTCTGCATGATTAACGATATGAATCATGCATGCAATCCCTGTGATTTAGCGCTGCGAACTGGTCTCAAGAGTGCCTGGAAAAAGAGTTGGTATCTGAGGTCAAGTTAGAGAACGAACTTTTTCATGGAGTGCATTGACATGGTTTAAGATTTGATATCATTTAATGCTTGGATCCCATATCTGCAGAAATTTTCCATTTGTCCTCGGCTTGCAACAAGTTTAAGGAGGCATCATGAGGTCACACGGCATCGGTTCTTATTCTTGCTTGAGATACTTTTGATTACAAAGAAGGACTCGATCCATCCTAAATCATAGAAGGAAGCATACATATTTCCAGTAAGGTTGCCGTTTAAACTAATATTGTCCTCGTCATGAAGGATGTCTGGATGACAAGTCGAGCCATAATGTAAACTATTGATCGTAACAAGAGTGTGAAAATGATAGATTCTCAATCTTTAGCTTGTGAAACTGTCCGGGTTTTGCAGAAGCTTAAACAGTCTCCATTGTAATATCATCCTTGCAGACATTTGGCCTTGGTAATTGGACTGAGCCTTCAGCAACAATGTGTGTTCGGTTCATCAAATCTCTCAGCTGACGGGAAGAAGCGACTAGCGGCAATGCTTCTCTTGTTCTCAGTGCAATGTCATTTATCTCGATTCAATTCAAAGCACCAATTTTCTGACAATTCTGAAGAGTCACCCTTCAACTTTCATCCTTCAACTTTCATCCTGACTTCTTGAAGTTTCGTGTTGACCGCCCGAAAGTGATAAACCATTAGCAAACTGATGACACATTGCAGAGTGCGGCTAGAATCGTCCATGTTAGTTCCTCCTTGCCAGATGATAAAAAGCATGGCTTCAAAAATTGTTGATTAACTATATCTGCGCATAATTTATGGCCGTGCAAGCACTGACGAGGATTTCATAAAATCAGAATTATTTCATAAAATCGAGTCATGAGCTAGACTACTATAGCTTCAATTTTTGATGCTCTAAATCTATTCAAAGCCCCGCTGAGATTATGTTTATATTAAATTATATCATTGCATGTAGTATATATACTACGTTTTTAGCCTCGAGGAAAAACCAGATTCAAGAGGAACATGGCATGTTTCAAACTCAGATGCAAAGTAAGAAAGTATAATCCAAGTGGATTCAACTGCTTTTTGCATTCCGGAGTAAGAAGATGCTACCAAAGGACGAACAGGCGTACCTGCACTCAATCATTTGAGTCTACTTTTCGACATCAAATATCATGCAACCTGTCTATCTGATTCCAGAGTATAACATCTGCTCATATGCAAAACATACTGAAACTTGTTTTTGTTTGTTTATGTTGCAGTTTGTCGCGTAATTGTGTGCGTCACTTTACCCTAAGCCTTAAATCGCCGTCTGCCCGAAACGGTAAACCCTAAAACTATCTCCTACTAGGTTACTTTCAACCTCGATATATCTCGCAGTTGCCAAGTTTTAAATTTCAAATTTTCACGTTCAAAATTCGAAATGGACTTCGCCACCGTGTGAAAGTCGAGAGATCGATGTAGGCTCCGGAAAGTGATCCAGAATTTCGGCTCTTTTCGGAAGTTTAAGTCAGCCATCCCCATCCCTTCTTCCCACAAACTTTCCGTAGGAGTAATGCCACCCGAATGACTCCTTGGGATGAATGCCGTCTAATGTGCGCGAAGCAAGTGTGATTCATGAAGAGTGGACGGCAACCGCAACTCGATGAGGCGTTTGAGCTCTGCAGCGAAGTCGACACGGAAATGAATAGCGATGGTGGAAAAGCAGGACAATAAGATTGTAAGTTTCACGTGGGTGAGCTACTTTGCGGAGAATAGCAGATTTTGATTTTCACTAGAATCACTTGACAGACAGCTCGGAGTCGATGTGTCCAACCTTCCAAATAACTTCTTGATCTTTCCTTCGACTTATATTTTCCGTAGAACTATGAAGCCTGTGCACACTTCTCCGTGAAATGAAGGAACAGCAATTGCAAATATATGTCTATGTTTTCATATTTCCTCATATATATGACCAAGTTAGGATGAAGGGGAATACTCTAGAAGCGTAGTTTAGCCTTATTCCTGTGGCAGAATTCAGTTGTTGTCCTGTGACGACTCGGACGTCGCAGGGGGAGATATGAAGCCCTAAACTTGGCTTGTGTTGCTTGTCTTGTAGACCGCATGGACCACCACCAAACTATAGAATGCTTTTAACGTCGAGTTGTAGAAGTAAATGGGACCACTCAACTGTGTCAATCACAGCTCTGCCTCCTTCACTTTTGGAGAAGATTGGCTTATCGACGCAAAGTCTAATGGCCACGGCTTGGGGAAGCCAAAGAGATACCCTAAGACCAAGAGGGATTATGAGAAACCCTGCTCGTGATTCTGGAAATTTAGGGGTTAAAACGGTAGCGAGGAGGGGTTGCCTGCCTTCTTCAAGAATTTCGACTTGGCCCTTTGTCTTGGGTGTCGCGAAATTTTTGAACTGGATTCTTGGCTAGGGTGGACTGTACAGATATTTTGATTCGTTTGGTGGAGAGCTCCAAAGAGTAAGACACCAGTTCCCTGATTTCAGCATCAGCAATAGCAGAGACCAACCAGTCAACTTTCTCTGTCAACTTCATTGAGCGAAATTCATTTTGGCAACTGTATTTGACCAGACCCGTCTCCAGAGCCTGAAGGAGATTCTTTTTGTCAAGCATGTCACGTTCAAGGACGGACGTACGTCTCATCAAAGACTCTACATTTGCTTCTTGGTCTTCAACCCTCCGGTTCATCAATTCGTCCTTGATCCTCGACACCATAGACTCTTTAATGGCCAGTTCCTCTTTACACCTCGCTAGTTATCTCCTGCTCGGAATATGATTGTTTCAAGGATTCGCATTGTGCAACAGCGACTCATTGAAACAATCATATTCCGAGCAAGAGGAGGACGTTGTGCAACAGCCTTGACTTTTTTCACATCAAGACTCAGCTTCTCCCTGGCATTGGCTGTTCTTTGCTCAGCAAGTACAAGCTCGTCCTTCAAAGCATCTCTTTCCGCGTTTGCTTTCGCAAGCTCCCCTCTCAGCTTGTTTACCAGCTGCATTAAACCTTGAACAACGTCTTCTTGCTAAGCCATATGTGAAGCAGCCTCATCCATTCTCTTACTCAATTCGCTCAACTCTAAATCTTTCGACTTGAGCATTTGTTGCATTTGAGACAGAGATTCCTGTTCTGAGAATGTTTTGGATTCCACTTCTTGAACGAATGCCTTGTACTTTGCTTTTAGCAGGTTGCTCATTTCCTCAAGAAGACTGGTTGCTTCGGAACTAGCAGAGTTGCTTTCAAATAGGCTATCAGTCTTATCACCCCATCCCTCCTGCCTAACCTCGATGCAAGCCACAACTGCGTCGGAATCAGCCTCCAACTTTTGCCTGGCAGCTGCTTTTATTTCCATGTTGAGCTCAAGTTCAGCAATGTGCTTGTGTAGAGAATTGATCTCATCTTGCAATTTAGTTGCCTCTGTGGCATCCTTCAGTTGCATCTCAGCAAGTACTCTCTCCATTTCACTCACTTCTCCACAAAAGATGGCCTTTTTTTCACTGAGACGGAGGTCTTCAATACGGCAAGCTGTTTCTCCAAGTTGTCTACTTGCTCCATGGCGGCGGCTAGTTTCTGGCTCGTCTCATGCAACACTGCATCCTTGAATCTCAACTCCTTTTGATGGGAGATCATCGCTGATGCAGTCATCTCTGCCAGAGCTTGCTTCAAGGCATCAAAGTTGCGTTTTTTCCGTTGGCCATTTGTACAATTGAAAAATGGGCTTCAATGGTACCAAACAGAAGAAAAATTAAAACTACTACAAGAAGTTGCGTGATTTACTTGTTACACTCAAAAGAAAATGATGTTGTTGGTATTTCCATTATATTTCAAGTTAAATAAAATCAGCAGAAATCTATTTCATCTCATGTTAAATATTCGCTGACATAGTCCCATCTGTAGCTAAATATAGTTTAGAATAAAATATATTTATCATATTTTAGCCACAAATGGAATTACGTCAGCAAGTACTTAATAATAAATGAAACAAAATATAAACTAAACTAAACTAAACTAAACTAAAATATAATCAATTAGATTGAATAATACGTTATATAAGAATTTTTTCTACATTATTTATATTTTAGATGCAAAACATTCAAAATGTATCATTCCACTGTGAAAAAAAAATCATGTAATGTATTGGAACTATTTGATGATAAATTCACTTGAGAGACATTTGTGAGCAGAAAATACACATATGCACAACATTCATGATGTATCACTGTATGAAAAAAGTCACCAACTGGTTTTTATAAATAATAAACAACTATTTTCTTCCTCAATACAACCGCATCGTTTCTTATCTTTTCTTCTCTATCTCAGACTTGGCACTAGTGGATACTATGTATCATTACAGTTTACGATGGTTTATCAACAAATTTTAAACCCTTGCTGGGTTTCATTTTCTAGTAGGATATATTTGGAATACATATTTTGCAATAAAATGTACATAAATTTGTCAAACTATGGATAACACGTTAAATGCTAAATGATGCTGTAATGAAGTGATACTTTGAACCTTGCGAAGTTTGAAAGACTCAAAAGTTTTGATAAGCATGTGGTGGACAATATAGCCCACTACAGGAAGTACTTTGATAGCTCTGATGCTCATAAGGAGCCCCTAGCTGAAGAGTGAAATACTAAACTAGAAAATCTTCAAAAGCTGTTTGTGCTTGGATGCCTACGAATCGACAAGTCTCTTCTTGGCATTCAGGTACTACAAATCTGTATCCCGTGTGTTATCTCGAGCGTCCTGTTGCTTTTCACTCTAACATCTGTGATCACACAGTCAGTCATTTAACAACTCTTTCGCAGGATTTTGTCACCCACCTTCGAAAGCAATTTATTGAACCTCCAGCGTTTGATCTTGCAACATGCCTCAGAGATGGTACTCCAAAATCACCACTCATATTCGTTGTCTCACCGGGAGCGGATCCTATGGCAGATTTGCTGAAACTGGTAGAAGACCATCGATTCAACCAAAAGTTCGAGAAGGTTGGTACTAATGCTCGATCATGCAATTATAGACTGTTCTGAACGTTCTGTTTTTTAGAGCTGAAAGACTGAAGTACTCTTAACACTTTTGCAGGTTTCTTTGGGACAAGGACAAGGTCCAAAAGCCGAGAAATTATTAGCGTAAGGTATGGAGCGCGGTATGTGAGTGTGTCTTCAAAATTGTCATTTGTCGCAGTCATGGATGCCGGCACTGGATCGTATTGTGGATAACATCGACCCTGACAAAGTACGTAGCCTTATAACGAAAACCCCTTAGCCAAACTCCAGAGGAGAGAAATTTTTGCTCTATGAGAATTCATGTAGCTTAGTGGTGCTCTCAGGATTCTTGAAAATCTGTCTCTGAAATCTCCAAAGGTTTTTAGTTTCACCAGACGTCCTCATGAGATCAACGGTGAAATGTATGGCCATTGTAGGTGCCAGAGATTTGGCAAGGCAAGGCTTATCCTTCTTTGAAACCCCTCTCAGCATGGATAGATGACTTGCTAGAGAGGTGCAAGCTTATATCTAAATGGATTGCGGAGGGTGTTCCAGCTGTGATATGGATCTCGGGTTTCAATTTCCCACAGGTACAAAACTGCTGAACATAAACTTGTACGTGGAAATTACACCATGTCCTGGAGAACACATGGCCCTCAAATAGACATAGATTTGTACTCATGAATGTGATGAATTAGTGTGCTAAGAATTGTACTCATTCTTGCAGGGCTGCTCAATTCCTAAAGCCAGAGGGGCGGTCGACTTTGAGAACTCTTGTATATCAAAGACAATATGCCCTCCTTTCAAACCTAGCCTTCATGAATTACTGTTTATATCATGTTTTATTGAAGTTATTTTGTTTGAAAGCATGTCATATTCTGCAGGCCTTTTGGACTGGAACGCTCCAAAATTTTGCTCGAAAACATAGAATGGCTATCAAGGGATGGACACAGACTCAGTCAAAACGCCTAACAAGACAGCCGGAAAGCGGTTGCTATATTAGAGGACTGTATCTCAAAGGAGCTCGCTGGGACAGTCAGGCTCATCTTTTGACAGAGTCCAGAACTAAGGAGCTGTTAACCGATTGTCTAATCATATGGCTGAAACCTACTCATTTGTGCCCTGTCTACAAAACTCTTGTCCGGGCTTGTAAGAACATCCTCTCTTATGTGTGCCAAGTGCTATAGAATCTTCAGAATAACCATTTGAAATGGCTTGTAGAAAACTTTCAATGTGCTCGTACCAGTAGCACCTTCACTGCCTTCGCCTACTAGTCCCGTCAATTTCATGATGTCTACAGGTCCTGTGTGATTCTCCAAAAAGTGTAATCAACAATCTCTAAAAAATGTTTGTTGCGGCTGTAATGTACCGAGAATTTAATTGTACAGATTTGCTCGTTACTACATTATCACTCAGAATGGGCTCCGGCCATCCTGAATGCGCTGTTAGTACGGACAAGAGAAGACATGCAGTCAAAAAACATTGCTTAACACATTTCAACGTGTCAATTTCTGGATTGCTTCTGATACATTCGAAAATTTGGTGATTGAATGTTTATAGAGAAGCAAAGATATACCAAGCAGACGGATAACAGAAAATTATCACACCAGTTTTGATGTAGGTTTTAGAATCACTAGATGACTCGGGAAACGCCGCTTCATCGACCTCGAGGTTTGAACTGCATATGTTAAAAGCCGATGGAGTTGTGGAATCAGCTCAGGACCTATTACTATTACCAAAGTAGGTGATTCTAATAATATAATAAAAGATAAAGAAACGGAAGCACATGAAAAAAACCTCATTGTAATCCTCCAAAGAGAAAGAGAGGGCAAAGTCAGGAACATTAAACTTGAACCGTGTGTTCTTCTTCTAGTACATGGTATCAGAATATATGGCTTTAAAACAAGCTTCCCTCACTAGAAGTAAATGCTGCAAACAAATTTCTTTATTTCATCTGATAAGTCAAGACTTTATATGGATAAACTTTTTATTATTTCTACGAATCATGAAATGACTGCAGTAAAAAAGAAATAACTAGAACATGATGGATTGAGTTTCAAATTGCTTTACAACTTTGGCTAAAAATTAAGAAACTTGAAAAAACCTAATTCATTTCAGTTGAAAGAAAAATAAATATCTCAATGGACTAGTAATTCTGTAAGAATTAGTTGACTCTAAATTAAATTTCATATAGGTCTAAACTATATTTATGTCGAATAATTCATTTCATATATTTTTCACAGAATTTGTATGAAATCAAATTTTTGTTGACTGATTCAAAAGTTGTGCAAGATTTTTGATTCCTAAAACACATTTAAACCTTTGATATTAGACAACCTTTTACTGTTACATTATTGAAAATAAAATAAATAAAAATAACTTTAGAAGTATTAATTTATATCTGATGATAAAATATATTGAAGTATTAATTATAATTATATATATTGCTGTGTTTGATTAAATTTGATACCATTTTTGTAAATTGTAAAAGTTATTGCATTTAAAACGCAATTTTGGAATCAACACATTTGATTGTATATACCAAATAAGTAACGTACTAGCTAAGTATGCACCCAAATAACTACACATTCCAGATAAGTTGCATAATTTTTTCCAAAAATTAGGGGTCAAGATTTATTTAGTTCAAAATGTCATACGTTGTTAATTTGGGCAAATCTTGAAGATTGTTGTGTTTGAAAATCAATTTTTGGTTGATGTGTATTCATTTGGAGTTTGAAAACCAATTTCGGTTGATGTTCCTTGGTTTTAAGACGGTGTGTTTTATAGTTGTAGTTGTAAAAAAACTAGACATTAAAAAAAACGCAGAGGCCATCTGAAACTTTCAATAATCCATTGTTGGCTATTTACTTTTACCCGTCAATAAAAGTTATTTTACTTTACCTTGCCGAAGCTTAGACTCATTCGGTAGTTTAGTTTTGGTTTCTTTCACGTTACAATTAAATTAAAAGTATTAAGAAGTGATTTGCCACATTAAAAATTGTGTCATAATAAATCTGAAGATCTGACAAGGTAATTTCTATATAATTGTTGTTCTGGTTTTGAACTCACAAAGAGCTCTAAAAGTGATATATGAGTATTCTTAAAAATTTACTACTTATCGCTGGTAGATTGATAGTCATGAAGGATTTCCATGACTTTTGATTCACCGAAAGGAATATTAAATTATATATATACTCAGTATGAAATGTTAGTGAAGTTAATTCAGATCTAGGTTCTCCTGGAGATTTTATGGCAACTTTGACAGCTTCTCACATTTCTAAGAAGTGTACTAAGAAGTGATTTGTCTAAGTAAGCACAATCCTCTCGGTATTGTGGAAACACGCTTTTTGTTTTTTTGCAGAATTTAAACAATTTTAGAAAACTAGTACCGAAGCAGTGTTTGTAGTTAGAAAAGGGTACGTTAAATAGAGTGGATTGATGAGATCGTCACGAGGTCACGAAGAATCGCGTAGTCGGATGTACCAACGCCAATGTCTTCGGCACCTTCGGCAAAAGCTCCTTTTCTGAGGTGTCTCTACTCACGCGCTTCCAGCGTATAAGGAAGCTACGCTTCCGGCGCAGACACCCCAGGAGGAGGTTTTGCTAAAGACGTCAGAAGAAGGGCCCGGACCTCTGAAGGCGTCCGACCATGAGTGCGCCTTCGGCGATGCGCCGCT